AACTTAACGTGTATCCCATTCGCAATAGCATTCGCTCATGAAATAAAAGGACATGGTTCGTCAGAACAAAAAATAGCAATAGTCCATCACTATTCGCGCCCATTCAGTTCGCAAAGAACAAAAAATAGCAATAGTCCAGCACTATTCGCGCCCATTCAGTTCGCAAAGAACAAAAAATAGCAATAGTCCAGCACTATTCGCGCCCATTCAGTTCGCAAACAACAAGAAACAGCAATAGTCCAGCACTATCCGCGCCCAGGCAGTTTGCGAAAATCAAAATATATATATAGCAATAGTAAAGAGCGAGAGCGAAAGACAAACGCGAATAGTCCAGCACTACCCGCGTCTTCCTCATCCGCGCTCTCTTCCTCCTCCTCATCATCCTCTGGCTCTGACTCAGACAAGGATTTCTTCTGACCAATCCACATTTTGACATGCTCGACCATCGCGCGAGTGTCCCAGCTGATTCCGGGGTTCTCAGGTCGGACTTTCTTCCTAACCGCGATTACAGCCTTTGTCATAGCATCCGCCAAAATCCTCCCAAAAGGCGGGGACGACTTATACTGACGAATTGCCGTAGCCTGGGCTGCGCGGACGGCCTCAGCCTTTGCCACATTGTGGAGTTGGACCAAATCATCCTTCTCCTTTTGGAAGTCCTCGCGGACCTGCCTCAGCTTCCCTTCATGATCCTCCGCCAGCATCCTCTTTTCCTCAGCGAACTGGGCTTGCAGCTGCTCCCTAATGGCGTCGCGCTCCTCTGCCCGGACACGCTCCTTCGCAGCCTCCACAGCAGTCTCGAGCCTACTTTGCCATACGCCGAGCTCACTCAAGACCTTGTTGGCCTCGTTGGTGGCCACTTCCGCGCGACTCTCCGCGCCGGCGAGTTTTCCTTCCAGCTGCACAATTCTGGACTCGTCTGTCTTCAGTCTCGCGCGGGTGGATGCACGATCCTGCTGAGCGCGGAAAGTCGCCAGCAAACCCTGTACAAACAGCACTATACAACTTAGCAAAAAATCTCTTTTCCACAAGGTAAAGAAAGGTTATGCGCCAAAACGGAATATCCTTACCGCCCAATGGATTTGAGCCAAGTCCACAAGCGGATCCGACTTCTCGAAACGGGGCGGAATGCTGAGCACGGGGCCAACCGCCCGCAGAGCAGCCTGAGCGGTTTGAGTGTTGCACGTCGCGCCAGTGTGAAGCTTCACGTCGCGGTAGTAGTCAACACCCGGGGTACCCCCCAACATATCGGGAAGCCTCCTTTGCACAGTAGCTCCAGAAGAGCTAGGAGCCACCAGCCTTTCCGGACGGGGGGAGTTACCCACTCGCGTTTCGGGGTCGACAATAACCAGAGGCTGCTAGCGTGCCTCCTGCACGGGAACCTCTCGCTCCCGCGGCTCAACAACCCGCGCAGCCTTCTTCGGGTTTTCATCAGCCACCTCCCTCTCCGACTCCTTCCTCTTCCCGCCACTCACGGGAGCACTGCTGGGCTGCCCCCGGTCCTTCCTCCTGGCGCTGGTGGCTGGCGCGTTGCTGCTCTGCGCTCCCTCTTTCTTCTTCTTCTTCCCCTTACGCGAGGGGCGGGGGACCTTCACGACGTTGTCCACCGACATCATGCTCACGAGGTCGGAGAAATCAACACATGCACCAAAATATCGTAAGAAACCGGTTAAATATGACAGAATACAAAGGGAAAGAAAAATAACTAACCATCGGCAAAAAGCTCTTGCAAGACGGCCTCGCGAACTCCGTACGTGTAAAAATTCATCTTTTGATTCATGCACGCTTCATATTCTTGGTCAAGCCCATCATACGCGCCGACGTGGGACTCATAACTAAGGGTGCCACCCTTTTTCCACTCAGTGGGCTCATCCACGTGCTCACTCGCCCACTCCCCCGGCGTCGGCTTGACGTAGAAGAAACATTCAAACCACGTCTTCTTCAGTTTGGGAGAGCCGTACACGAACCCATCAGGCCTATTATCGCGCCGCTTTATGGATACACAGTCGCTCTTGGTGCTAGGCTTCTTGATCTTATAAATTTTGCGGAACAGCCCGTAAGTGGGCTGGATGTTAACCCTCTTACAGGCGAGGCGCAGGCAGGAGACGTGCATAATGATGGATGGGGAGAGGCGCCCAACCGAGCAGTTGAGCCGCCTGTATAAGGCGCACAACAATGGGTCGATGGGAAACTTGAAGCCCATCACCCAGTACTCGCTGTACACCCCAAACCATCCCGGGGGGCAATTGCCCACCATACTCCTCACAGAGGGCACCGCGTACTCCCAGTGGGGAGGCAAACCTAGTCCGCGCACGATATCCTCTACGTCTTCGCGCGAGTATATGGAAGCGTGGTCGGGCCCCCGCTATAAGTTGTCGTGCGGAGCCGGTTGGTCGCCCCACATCTCCGCCCAATCGAGGACGGTGTAGACCGCGTCCACACAGCGAGGGCCAAGGTTATGCGCACCACGTCAACGGGTTCCACAATAATTGGCGCCGACTGCGTGTCAGAATCCTCGCGCTCAGTCGCATCAGCAGTACCAGTACCAGCACCCTCCGCAACCCCAGACCTCCCATCGCGGTCGCTTCGGAGTATCAAGACGCCCCGAGGCTGCGTGCTCGGCCTCTCGCTCCCGGACATAACAACATCTTCATCTGCCTCTCCGAGGAAGAAATCGGGATTCGAGTCGACTTCGGCCGACGGCGTTGTCGGAGCCCCGCCGCCACCAGACCCACCGCCATACTCGCCGCCGGAATTCGCCAATTCCAGCGACAGATCAGAAGAAACATGTGAAAGGGGGGAAAGATTACCTTCTTCGTCTTGTACGATCTCAATCTCGTCGACGTTGGTGTTGGTGTTGTCCATGATAGCAATACGAAGTATGGAAGAACAGCGACTGAAGATTTAAGATTGTAAAAGAAGGAGAGAAATCTCGGCGAAAGACCAGAACAAGAGAAGAAAGGGGCAGAGCTCAGATGTGCAGAATGAGGCAGAATGAATCCCACCCCCCACAACGGGTTGATACTTATAGTTGTTAGAGGTAAGTCGAAGGGTTAAAGTAACCTCGAAGATCGCAACCGTCAGACGTTTCGAATTTCGAAATCCGCCCGCCCAAACAGACAAATCAAGATAGGACACGTGGACACCTACGGGAATTAGGTACTAGCCGTTGACGTAACAAGTTCCGCACAACGCCTGGGGGGCATGGCACACCCGCGAGGAAAGCGAAAAATCTCACAAATTCAAGCACGCGCAGCTGGCCAAGAAAAATCTCACAAAGATCACGCACACATACACCAAGCGAGCGCGACCTTAAGGCGCAGATTCAGAATCCCGATCCCAAGGATCGCGCCCAATCAAGCAACTACAACAGAACCTCTCGAAATCGCGCGGTTGCAGAATGGCAAGGCGCACACGAAGAGCAATCGCAACCCCGGAAATCACGCCCAATCAGATGTCGCGCCATCGGCAATTCGCGCGCAGGCCCGAGTCAATTAAACGAAGATCTAAACAGAGGGTATTCACAGAACACCCTCTGATGGGGGGCAATTGTTGGGCATGTGACTCGGACCTAGTCGCGCAAGGTAAGACGCGCCGGCGTAAGCCCAGACGCGAAGGCCTAAGGCGCGCCATAGCCTGTGCGCGGGTGGAAAGAACAAAGGCGCGGAGACCCTGAACTCCTTACAAGCTGCGCGCGGGTGAAAAGCATCAAGGCGCGGAGACTCCGGGCGCGTCGCAAGCCACGCGCGTGCTGAGAGAGCCAAGCGAGTACTAAGCCATAGAGCCGCAAGGAGTCCCCATCACACTCCCCGAGGGCCAGTCACGTCAGGATCCGAGATACAGCCGTAGGTACACCTCTGACATGTCCTAGGTAGAGGGATGACCTAAATCCCTGACATGTCAATGGTCATGTCAAGGTACCATCATGTAATCCACCCACTTACCCACCACCATGTAGCCTATAAATATGGCATTTACTCCGGTGGGTGAGGGGATCGCATTTTTGAGCATTCTCTCTCTATAACACCAACTTCTCTCTCTCGTTCTCATTCGGCTCTTCGATTCTCATTCTCCTAGACGAATTCCACACTTGCGTTCTTCTTAACCCCCACTCTTCCCCGAACCTCACTTCTACACTCAGTTAGGTTCAAACAAACTGTTATACATGATTTGATTAAGAAAAAGAATATTAATGCCACTTTTGATTTAATTTTCCTAGATGGAATGTTGCTTTGTTCGATTGGATTTGCTTTATGGAGAAGGTGGAGGAGCTCGATTTGTTTATCTTGATTTTGTGTAAACAAATTTTCAAAATTGAATAAAAATTTGGAATTGATATTCTATATGCTTAAAAGGAAATTAACAATTAGGACCAACCAATGGATTGGATTGTATTTACCAAAAAAAAAAAAAGATTTGGATTGTTATTTCATGGAAATTTATGGAAGCATCCATTTCAAGGAGGGGATTGTCATATTAGGTCAAAATTAAAACCCAAAGATGTACCGGACAAGTTGTAGTTGTGAATGTGAAGTTGTTAGCTGTCCATGAATGTCTCTCTATATGTATATTGACTAAAACAACGTTGTATAGTTTTTGAAGGTGATTCTCGTACGAACATTTTGATAATTCAGAAATTAACAATTGAAAATAAGTTTGAGTTATATAGGTCCCTATACTTATAATTAAAGGAAAAATCTTGTATGTTGTTTCTGATTCAATTTCAATATTTTTGATTTAAGGTGATGATGGTGTATGTAATATTATTTATATATAAAAAATAACCTATTTTGGAAAAAAGGGAAATTAGGAATTTATTTAATTGTAGTTTACTTAATTATATCAAATTTCCAAATGTTAACATAAAAATAAATAGCCGTGAAAATATAAAAACAATTCCAGTTGGCATTTGGCTACTTGACTAGAGAGAGAGAGAGAGAGTATTATACAGTAGACGTTACCCGCCTTCGCCAACCCCAACTATAATATCACAACCAACCAACCCTTTCTCTTCTCTCATTTTCCTTCCCTTCCTTTCCTTTCCTTTCCTTTCTACAGCAACTTCTCCGTTATTCATTCCCCTTTTCCGTTTCTCTTCCCACAACACCCCTCAATTCCTTACTTACCACCTTTTCTCCTTTTCGGCTTCCCAACGTTCTAATCCATGGCAGAAGAAGAAGCTAAGAAGGCCGAGCCCGAATGCCCTGCCCCCGCCCCTCCCGCCGCCGATCCTCCGGCAGCTGCCGCTCCTGCTGACGAACCACCAAAGGACGTGGCCGAGGAGAAATCCGTAATTCCGGCCACTCCTCCATCGGAAGACAAGTCCGATAAACCTGATGACTCGAAGGCCATCGTTCCCGTCGAGAGTAATTACCTTCCTTCCCCTCCACTTTGCTTTCTGGGTTCTGATTATTTTGTTATAACTCTGCCAAAATTTCGTTCTTTTTTACCATTTTACTCTGTTTTTAGAGGACTTGCCAGAGAGTGAGCCACTGACTGCCTGCCGACTAAAAGCATATTGTTAAATTTTGCCTTGCATATATAAAATCCCCCCTTTCATGTCCCCAAATTACCTCAGAAATCTTTGTTAATGTATATACAAAAATTGATTTTTATTGGGGTTGGTTGGTTTGGGAAAACAGAGGTGGCAGAAGCTGCAGTGGAAGAGGCAAAGCCTGCCGAGGGCTCTATCAATCGAGGTAATTCACAAACACTTTTCCCTTTCTGAGTTCCAGATTTTCATGGCTTCAGTTTGGTTGAATAAAGGAAGTAACTTTTTTCCTTTGTTTGTTTGTTTGCTGTGCTGGGTATGGGTTTTTAGATGCTGTGCTTGCCAGAGTTGAAACAGAGAAGCGGACTTCTCTCATCAAAGCTTGGGAAGAGGCCGAGAAGAGCAAAGCTGAGAACAAGTAAGAAGAAAACCCTTCCAACTCTCATTTCATTCCATTCCCTTTACTCCACTTCCAGTGCCTAATTGGGTTTTTGTCCTCTGCTTTCCGGGAACCAGAGCTCAGAAGAAGATCTCTGCAATAGAGTCATGGGAGAACAGCAAGAAAGCGAACATAGAGGCGGAGCTCAAGAAGCTAGAGGAACAACTGGAGAAGAAGAAAGCAGAGTACGCCGAGAAGATGAAGAACAAGATTGCAGAAATCCACAAGCAAGCCGAGGAGAAGAGAGCTATGACCGAAGCGAAACGAGGCGAAGAGCTGCTGAAAGCAGAGGAGATTGCTGCAAAGTATCGCGCCACAGGGACTACCCCAAAGAACCCACTTGGCTGCGGCTGTTTCTAAACCCAAAAAACAAGATCCTTCCTTTTTTTTCTTTATAGTATTCGGTTTGTTGTATATCCCTTTGCATCATATTTCACCAAAACTACAATTTGTTACTCATGAAACATTTCTAGTTTGTTTGTACGGCTTTCATAGATTCATATAGGCAGCCAGGAAAAAAATTGAATTTGCAGCTTGTTTGTGATTTGCAGCGTATTTGTATGTGTGGGATTTGTTTGTTGATGTATTATTTGGTATGTTTGTAATTTTGTGGTGTATATAAACACAGCATTTTCAGGATGATAGTTTGGGGTAATGTAATCTGTTCATCTGTTCTTTAAGGTCTCTGTTTCTTGCTGAAATGGCGAAAGTTAGGTTATCGAAATGAATGATTAGATAAGAGTCAAAGAATTGGAATGGTGCCATGGCTTTGTGGTATAAGGAAGCATGATTATACTGCACCAGACAGCCAAATCAGAATTCGTGGCTGTAAACAAGGCATTAGGCATTGCGCCAGCCAAAAACAGCAACTCATATGTGATGACAACGAAGTCATCAAATCTTAATGTATGATTGGAATTCTGGAATGCCCCATTTTCAGATAATTTCTTGCCAAGTGACCCTCATTTTCAGAGTTGGAGAAAAAATTATCGATCAATCTCTAATGCACTAACAAATTAATAGTCTGGTTCTTGAAAACAAAACAAACAAAAAAAAAAAAAAAATTCAAAAGTGAACAACTAACTAAATAATGAATAATTGTTTGGTACATTGAAATTTGAAAGTGATATTCTTGATAGTTTCAATTACTAATGTATTATAGTTTACCAAACCTTTCCAAATATAAGATTATGTAATGAATAATTAATATATTTAACAAAATCTATATAATCATTGTTATTATAAGAACCGAACCGGATCAATGACTGTGCTAGTAGAACTACTAAACTAGTTACAATGGCAATTCAGTTCATTTGAATGGATGATTAGGGATGAACCGCCCCAGATTTACTAGTCCACTGGCTCACTATTTTAACCACAAAGAATTAAGGGAAAACCTTAACCTAAATTAAGATCATGCAGCCTCAATCACTAATTCTATTTATGCTTCCTTTTCTTCTTTTCCTAGTCTTCTTGTCGACTTTCTGTGTTCCACTACGAATCGTCACTCTCATTAATAACTTGACTTTCATAAAAAAAATTTATGATTTCTTTTGTGTGATAGTTTGGATGTTTTGTTAGCACTTTTTGGTGATAGATAATATGGATTTGAGATTGTTTATGGCTAGCGAGTGATAAATTTACTCCTAAATTAGTGATATATATCTTTTATGTTATAGGGCATGGACAGTTCTATCAACAAATAACCAATCGTTCTACAACAGTTAGTTGTTGAACCATCAACCATTGACTTTTCTTGTTTAACGTCCGATTCGGTTATGAACACATTGTATTTAATCTTGTGTATTTTTTTTTTAAGAGTATCCATTTTCGACAAAATCCTCACTTACCTCGCCTTCATTTTTCTCGGAAAAAAAAAAACCAGTACACACCACATGTGGATCGCTAGTATACACATAGCATGTGCATTGACAGATCCAGAAACAACCAGATTACCGTCCTTCAATTTTAGTCTCCAATTAGCTCATGCTTAATGTTCTTTCTTTCTTGTCTGCAGCCATTAGGGTTTTTGGATGTATATGGTCTGGATGGTGTTTGAGTGGCTAATACATAAGACTGCTGTCTCAATTAAGCTGCGTCCACATCAAACAATATAATCACACGCCTAAGAAGGGGCGAAAAACAAATTATTATCTTTTAATTAATCCAGTTCATCATTTTTTTTTCAAAAGATATCATATATTGATAAAAGATAGTTACATTCTGGAAACCAGCCAGGCCCTGAAATCAAACAAACGACTCATAGTCGGATACAAAGAGAGGGCTTTTCTAGCTACCGAATGAGCTACCCTATTGTTTTCCCGACCTATAAATCGCACACTAAACCCCGGGTGATCACACAAATATTGCCCAATTTCCTCCAGGATCGCCCCCAAACGGTTGTCCCTCCTGTCACCCTGATTAATTTTATCAATAAGCACCTTGGCATACCCCTCAAACCGGACCTCCGTGAAACCATACTCCAAACACCAGGTCAGTGCCTCTCGCAGCACCAGCAACTCTACCAGTGCAGGCTCATCCATCCTAGGAAACTGCACCCCCTGTGCAAGAAGTATCTTCCCCTGAACGAGAAGAACCATCCCACCAGCAGAGTGCGATCCCCTCCTGGTTGCCCCATCCCACCTGCAAACCATATTTGAATCCTCCCCCGAAACCAACTGAACCCTTGGCCCTGCCACCGTAGTCGCCTGCTCCAGGGGCAGAGCCATCCATTCCTCAACCTGTTTATGGATCTGTCTCATTAGCGCGGGAATCCCAAACTGTTTGCCTGCAAAGACAACCCAGTTTCGTGACCGCCAGATCCACCAAAGGACCGCAACTACCTTCATAACCACCGATGGCTGGTGGATCAAGGCCAACAGACGCTTGAGGAATAGAGGGAACGTATGACGAGGCAATCCCTCTCCCAGATAATCCAGCCCAGAATAGTCCCAGAGAGCCCTCGCAACCGGACAATAAAGAAACAAATGTTCCATTGTCTCAGGGCTCTCCCAGCAGACTGGACACCGGGGCAACACCGAAACCTTTCTCCCAATCAATGCCTCCGTTGTAGGCAGAACCCGGTTAAGAATTTGCCAGACAAAGACCTTCAACTTCGGAGGAATCTTAGCTTCCCAGACCCTAATCCAACTAGGTTTGTCCATCCAACTAACCTCAGATCTCCATCCTCCCCTCCGCCTATCTAACTCAACAGCCAGATGATAAGCAGACTTCACCGTAAACACCCCATCCGCTGTGTTGTGCCAAATAAGCTTATCAGCAATACTCCGGCGCGGAAGAGGAATAGCCTGGATGGCTTTGCACGTAGGAGGATCAAACCATTGACTCAGCTTCCTTTCCGACCACCGCCCTTCCCCTTGACATATAACTTCTGCCACCAAGGGATCCCCCTCCGGAAGGAATTAATCCAGTTCATCATGATATCGCTAATTGACGAAATTAGCACCACGATGTGAAGTAATCCAACGATTTATTGCTTTGGAGAAAGTGGAAAAATATTTTAAACTGGTCGTCGACAGGTTGGAGTTTCCACAATGCTTAGCTAAGCTTTGTTCAAGCTAAGCTCTACGCATTTCATTCATATAAATTGAAAATCGAATAAGATTTATTGGATAGGTATATATATGTATTACAACTTGCTCTAGTTTTGTAATTTATATTACGATATTTTTGGAGATTTCAAATATCTTTTGTATCGGAGATTTGAAGTGTATATTCTTCCCGTGAATGATAGTGTCCCTGAGGTGGCTGAGATCTTAGATTGATTTTAATAGGATTCTAGTTGTGAACCCAAATGAATTTTTGGCAATACTTTTTTTAGCAACTCGATTGTAAAATGATAAAACATACGATTCCTCCCTATATATACATGACTTGAGGATGTGAATTTTATCAACGTACTTAAGCAATCCTCATCAACAAATCAAACCAGGCATCCCAAACAAAGGACATCCTCAGATGCACCCTTTTCAGAAATCTATGCATTTCAACCATACACTTGATAATTGGAAATTAATAGGCTTATTAATTCATGCACTCTTCCTTTTTCCCCACCTTTCAAATCCATAAAAAAATGTCATTTACTCTGTGAGTTCCCTATTTGAATATGAATTTATTTAGACCATTTTTTTAAATAGCATTGAATTACTGAAGAAGATTTGAACTCATAAACTCCAACATGAAGATGTCAATATTCATTTACCCCTACAAGTTGATTCATTAAAACCACACAAAATTGAAACTGATATACACAAGATTCTATGTATTAGACAATATTAGAATCAACTAATTGAAACATATTATTCAACTCTAAAGCTTCACACGTCATTTTCCTCCGTGTTTCGGGTGGCCTTCATCGTGTCACATTTTCGACATTGATGCATAGAATTAGATTAATAACATGGTTTATCATCATCACAATGAATGAACTTACCCATTTAATTGCTATCTAGTTGGTAAATCGCTTACCGACCTTCACAATTCGTGCTGTCGATAGATTATGTTGGGGGGTTTATGCAAGTCCTGGCATGAAATTAAGTAAAAGAAGGTGGAGTGAAAGAGATCAATATATTAATTTCCACCAACTATCCTAACTTCCCAAGTTTAGTAATCTTTACAACCTGGTCCCTCAAATCAAAAAAGATTCTTCCTCTCAGCAAGGAATCTCGATTAAGCAAAGAAGTAATTAACAGGCTGGAGCCACCACCACTACTCTAGTTATACATGATTTTTTTTGGTAGAACAGTTATACATGATTTGATTAAGAAAAAGAATATCAATGCCACTTTTGATTTAATTTTCCTAGATGGAATGTTGCTTTGTTTGATTGGATTTGCTTTATGGAGAAGGTGGAGGAGCTCGATTTGTTTATCTTGATTTTGTGTAAACAAATTTACAAAATTGAATAAAAATTTGGAATTGATATTCTATATGCTTAAAAGGAAATTAACAATTATGACCAACCAATGAATTGGATTGTATTTACCGAAAAAAATGATTTGGATTGTTAAGTCAAAATTAAAACCCAAGTACTACCCGAGAAGTTGTAGTTGTGAAGTTGTTAGTTGTTCATGATTGTCTCTCTATATGTATATTGGCTAAAACAACGTTGTATAGTTATTGAAGGTGATTCTCGAACGAACGTTTTGATAATGCAGAAATTAATAATTGGAAATAAGTTTGAGTTATATAGTGCCCTATACTTATAATTAAAGAAAAAATCTTGTATGTTGTTTCTGATTCAATTTCAATATTTTTGATTTACGGTGATGATGGTGTATGTAATATTATTTTTATATATAAAATAACCTATTTTGGAATAAAAGGGAAATTAGGAATTTATTTAATTGTAGTTTACTTAATTATATCAAATTTCCAAATATTAACATAAAAATAAATAGCCGTGAAAATATAATACAAAAATCCAGTTGGCATTTGGCCACTTGACTAGAGAGAGAGAGAGGTATTATACAGTAGACGTTACCCGCCTTCGCCAACCCCAAACCAAACCAACCCAAACCAAACCAACCCAACCCAACCCAACCCAACCCAACCCAACCCAACTCTCATTTTCCTTCCCTTCCTTTCTACAGCAGCTTCTCCGTTATTCATTCCCCTTTTCCGTTTCTCTTCCCACAACACCCCTCAATTCCTTGCCACCTTTTCTCCTTTTCAGCTTCTCAACGTTCTAATCCATGGCAGAAGAAGAAGCTAAGAAGGCCGAACCCGAATGCCCTGCCCCCGCCCCTCCCGCCGCCGATCCTCCAGCAGCTGCCGCTCCTGCTGACGAACCACCAAAGGACGTGGCCGAGGAGAAATCCGTAATTCCGGTCACTCCTCCTTCAGAGGAAAAGTCCGATAAACCTGATGATTCCAAGGCCATCGTTCCCGTTGAGAGTAATTACCTATCTTCCCCTCCACTTTGCTTTCTGGGTTCTGATTATTTTGTTACAACTCTGCCAAAATTTCGTTCTTTTTTACCCTTTTGCTCTGTTTTTAGAGGACTTGCCAGAGAGTGAGCCACTGACTGCCTGCCGACTAAAAGCATACTGTTAAATTTTGCCTTGCATATATAAAATTCCCCCTTTCATGTCCCCAAATTACCTCTGAAATCTTTGTTAATGTATACAAAAATTGATTTTTATTGGGGTTGGTTGGTTTGGGGAAACAGAGGTGGCAGAAGCTGCAGTGGAAGAGGCAAAGCCTGCCGAGGGCTCTATCAATCGAGGTAATTCACAAACCCTTTTCCCTTTCTGAGTTCCAGATTTTCATGGCTTCGGTTTGGTTGAATAAAGGAAGTACCTTTTTTCCTTTGTTTGTTTGTTTGTTTGTTTGCTGTGCTGGGTGTGGGTTTTTAGATGCTGTGCTTGCCAGAGTTGAAACAGAGAAGCGGACTTCTCTCATCAAAGCTTGGGAAGAGGCCGAGAAGAGCAAAGCTGAGAACAAGTAAGAAGAAAACCTTCCAACTCTCCTTTCATTCCCTTCCCTTTTCTCCATTTCCAGTGCCTATTTGGGTTTTTGACCTGTTTTCCGGGAACCAGAGCTCAGAAGAAGCTCTCTGCAATCGAGTCATGGGAGAACAGCAAGAAAGCGAACATCGAGGCGGAGCTCAAGAAGCTAGAGGAACAACTGGAGAAGAAGAAAGCAGAGTACGCCGAGAAGATGAAGAACAAGATCGCAGAAATCCACAAGCAAGCCGAGGAGATGAGAGCCATGACCGAAGCGAAACGAGGCGAAGAGCTGCTGAAAGCAGAGGAGATTGCTGCTAAGTATCGCCCCACATGATATGACAGTAAGAGTTGGGAGGATTTTTAGAGATAAGTTTGAGCGGTAGCGGTGTGATATTTACTTTCCCAAAACTTGATCTGATCCAGACTATTACAGACCATATATACTAAGCTAAAGTTCTGTCAGGTGCCCAAAATAAACCTATATGACATCCTTAACATTATAAACCGACTTCACTATAAACCGACTTCAGAACAGAACACCAGCATCCTTAAGTCTTCACATCAGTATCTTCCGGCAACACCCCCCCTCAAGCTGGGGCGTAGATATCTAGACGACCCATCTTGGACATGATACCCTGAAAAACTGCAACCGGCAACGATTTCGTGAACATATCGGCTAATTGATTGGAAGAGGAAACATGCATTACCTTGATATTCCCTGCAATGATCTGATCACATATGACATGACAATCAATTTCGATATGCTTAGTACGTTCATGATTCACAGGATTATCAGCAAGCTTTATAGCAGAAAGACTATCACTATACACAGCAGTAGGGGCAGCAAAAGTAATGTCCAGATCATGCAATACATATCTAAGCCAAAGGATTTCACAGGTTAACATGGCCATGGCTCGATATTCTGCTTCGGCAGAGGATCGTGATACGGTCTGTTGCTTTTTGGACTTCCAACTTATCAAGGAATTACCTAATAAAACACAAAAGCCTGTGGTAGATCGTCTAGAATCTGGACAACCTGCCCAGTCACTATCCGAGAAGGCATGCAACCGAAGGGAAGAAAGTTGAGAGAAAAACAACCCTTGACCCGGACTAGCCTTAATGTATTTGAGAACTCGTTCAGCAGCATTCATATGTACATCAGTTGGAGCATGATTAAACTGGCTTAACTGGTGGACAGCATATGAGATGTCTGGCCTTGTGTTGCACAAGTAAAGCAATCTTCCTATTAAACGCTTGTAAACAGAAATGTCAGAAAGAAGGTTACCGGACTTGGCAGAGAGCTTTGGACCAGGTGTGGAAGGCGAATCTGCAGGTTCAGCACTTAACAAACCACAATCAGCAAGCAAATCTAAAGCATATTTTCTTTTACAGAGAGAAATCCCTTTAGAAGTCCTTGCTATCTCAAAGCCTAGAAAGTATTTAAGTTCTCCAAGATCTTTAATTGTAAATGCTGCATCTAACTTACTCTTAAGAGACTGAATAACAGAAAGATCATTACCGGTCAAGATGATGTCATCAACATATACAAGAGCAACAGTAAAAGATTTAGCAGACTTATTAATGAACAAAGAGTAATCTGCCTTAGACTGAACAAAACCAGCAGCAACCAGAAAAGATGTTAACTTGTGATTCCACTGCCTGCTTGCCTGTTTTAAACCATATAAAGACTTGTTTAAACGACAAATAATATTCTTAGAATTAGAAGGCAAAGACAGACCAGGAGGTGGTCTCAAGTAGACTTCTTCATACAAATCACCATGTAGAAAAGCAGTGTTAACATCTAGCTGATGTAAATACCAATTGTTAATTGCAGCCAAGGCTAGAACTAACCTAACAGTAGTATGCTTTACAACAGGAGAGAATGTATCCAAATAATCTATCCCAGGGGTTTGAGTAAATCCCTGGGCTACAAGACGAGCCTTATACCTTTCAACTGAACCATCTGCCTTAAATTTGACTTTATAAACCCAGGTACAACCGATGGCCTTCTTGCCAGCAGGTAGTTCGGTAAGTGTCCATGTATTTGTTTTGGCAAGGGCTGCCAACTCTAGGTTCATTGCTTGAACCCATTTCTCATCAAGAACTGCATCTTTATAACAACTAGGTTCAACAACGTCAGTGATAGACATGACATAATGCTTATGGGAATCACTCAGATTATCATATGTAACCACATCAGACAAAGGAAAATGAACAGTACCAGAATCAACACAACACACATAATCATTCAGTTTCTTAGGGCGAATTCGATGCCTAAGAGGTCTAGCATGAGCAGGAGGTTCAACGGCTTGTATTATATCAATTAAGTCAGGCTGAGGTTCATAAGGATGAGATGCAGGGCTGGTAAAAGGACTGGATGGTAAACTCGTGGGTGGAGAAGTAGTTTGAGAAGGTACAGACACGCTGCCAGAAGATGGAAGGGTGGCTGGAACTTGGATACAAGGAAAAGAAAAATCATACTTATGCAGAGAAGGTTCGACACACAAAGGGAATACATGTTCATGAAATACAACATCGCGAGAAGCAAAAATAGCATGGGTATGCAGGTTATATAATCGGCACCCCTTAACAGCATCCAGATATCCCAAGAAAACAGCAGCATCCGCCCTATGATGAAACTTTGGCCTATTATGAGCATGTGTAGAAGCAAAAGCAAGACACCCAAACACCTTTAGAGCATTATAATCTGGTTTGGCATGCTAAACGAGTTAAAAGGGGAGATATCTTTCAACAATGGAGTAGGCAAGCGATTAATTAAATACACAGCATGCAGAACAGCAAACCCCCAGAAATGCAAAGGTAAAGACGCTTGAAACAACAATGCACGAGCTACAGCCAGGATGTGTTGTTGTTTCCTTTCAACGCGACCATTCTGTTGAGATGATGCAAGACAGGTAGTTTGATGTACAATGCCAAAAGAAGTATAGAAAGAAGGCATGTTGAACTCCTGTCCATTATCTGTTCTTATCACTTTAATTTTCCTATCAAACTGTGTATTAACAAAAACTGGTAGATTCATAACCAACTGACGAACTTCACTTTTATTAGAAATTAAGTACACCCAGGTATGACGAGAATAGTCATCCACACAAGTCAAGAAGTACTGTTGATCGTCAACTGTAGGAACATTGTACGGACCCCATATATCTATATGCACTTACCTTCATCAAAAAAATATCTATATGCACTAATTCAAACAAAGTGTTTGAGTGAGAATAACTCAAAGGAAAAGGTAACCTTTTCTGTTTGGCAAGTGGACAAATTGTACAAGGGTTTTTATTAGAAGATCGACTGTACAAACCTACATTACCTTAGAACTAGAAACGCCTGAGTGGCCAAGCCGGTAGTGCCACTGATCAAAAGGAACATAAGTACTATCAAAAGAAACAGCAGAAACAACTAAATCAGAGGAAACTTCTAGATGATAGAGCTCTGATTTTTGTTTAGCTGTACCAATCGTCAGCTGGGATGAACGATCCTGGATTAAGCAATGATCATCACAGAAAGTTAAAGAGCAATTAAGTTGTTTAGATAACTTACTAACAGATATAAGTTTGAAAGTAAAAGCTGGAATATACAACACATCACGAATAAGCAATGTAGAGGACAACCTAATAGTACCTATATGGGTAACCTCTACTCGACTACCATTTGGTAAAGAAACAAACATGTTACTGACCAAACGATATGACAAAAACATGTATAATACAGAGACAACGTGGTCTGTAGCACCACTGTCTAGCACCCAAACATGTGATGAAAAAGTTTGCGAGAGAGAGGAGAGAGCTAATTTACCAGTCTCCTCAGAGGAGACGATTTGTGTAGCTGCCGATGTCTCTGTAGCTGCCGATGTCTGAGAACCATCCCACTTGCAAACAATGGAGCTGTTTGAGTCTCTTGGCCAGTTGGAGTGAATTGAGAATGAAGGTGAGTCAAAGTCATCATTCCAATGGTACCCTGAGAAGCAGAAGATGTTGGCAAGGCAGGTTCAGCACCATGAGAAGTTGTCTGATGAAGTAGAGACTGATATTGTGCCTTAGTCAAGACAATTGATTCCTCGGCATCAACCCTATCCTCAACATTCAAGTTAGGATTATCCAAAACCACCATATTGGATAATTTGCCTCGCGTCTTGTAACCAGGTGGGTATCCGTGCTTCTTATAGCATCGATCAATAGTATGAACGATTATGCCGCAGTAAGAACAGATAGGACGCTTCGTCCCTCGTCCTCCAGTCTGCTGAGCTGCAAGTGCAAGTGACTCGGTTGATTGAGTATTACTAGGAAACTTCAGCCCTGTAGATTGGCGTTCATGCTGCACAATACCGGCAAAAACCTTCGTAATAGGTGGAATTGGGTCCATCATCAAGTACTGACTTCGCAGATGCGAGAAGTTCTCATTCAACCCTTCGAGAAACCGTGTGAGCTGATCACGCTTCATATATGTACGAGCGACAGTAGAAGCATCACAAACACACTTCGGGTTGCATGTGCAGGGGGGCAATGGACGAAGGATTACAAGTTCCTCCCACAGAACACGAAACTTGGTGAAGTAATCGCTGACAGGCAGAGTGCCCTGGCGAAGACTTGCAATTTCATCAAGAAGGTCGGAGATCCGAACTTCGTTCCCTTGGCTAAACATTTCACTCACGCAGATCCTCCCAGACTTCAACCGCCGTTTCAAACCATAGCACGCTTTGTGAAATTTCCGGCGAGAGAGAGCGCTGGAGCCAACCCAGGACAAGTACGTTCGCCTGATCCCAAGCCTTAGCCTTCCAGAGTGGATCTGCTGGAGATGGCGGCTCAACAGAGGGATCAACAAGGGGAAAGCTTGTTTCTTGAATGAAGCCCCATCCGCATGGAGCGCGCCCACGAGTGATAATTCGCTCCAGAGAGAGGAGCGGTAACTAACTGAAGGGAAGGCACGTCCCCGTTGGCGATGAAGTAAGGATGAGAAGGGGGCAGCGGTACCGAGACCGAGTGTAATGAACCAATATGGAGTAAGGGAGTTAATTGTTAGTATCAGGAATATAGGGACTAATTGGGATATTTTGTAGAAGGGTATACATTGTGTTCTGGATGTACTGCTGCAACTATCGAATAACAGAATACAGATTTTCCCTATCCTTCTTCTCTTCTACTCTGCTCTGTCTCATTCCCTCTTCCTCTTCCTTCTTCTCTTTCTCTATCACTCTTTCTGCCGATCTTCCTCCTAATCTCTATTGCTTTCATCACTTCATCTCTCCACTACTTTCAATAGCTGAGAACTGATCCAGAACAAGGCCGGGACATCACAAATTGGTATCAGAGCCTCGACTCGGCATCCATGGCGGCGACTCGCACTGTTGTTATCGATGAACGCCTTTCCACCGTCAGTAATCGTGCCGACGCATTAGACACCAGCTTACAGCAATTACGGAATGATGTGGCGGCGCACATCGCCAATTCGGAGGAGCAGGCGGTGGTGCTTCGCAATCGTCAGACGCAAAGTGAAAATCAGCTTCAGGAGTTATCTACAAAGGCCGATGGCCATTCTCTACAGTTCGCTACTCTGACCACCAGAGTAGGAGGTATGGATCGGCGTTTCGATAGTATGGATCAGAGGTTTGATGACCTCGAGCATCGTTTTGATGCTCGGTTTGAAGAGGTCATCCGTCGTCTTGATCAGTTCGGCAGACCACAGCCTGAGATCGTTGTGGCTGGTGCGGCGGTGGCTGCGAGAGATCGGCACAACGATCGCGGCATTCTCCCCCTGCCGGATTTTGGGGCTGCTGGCGCGGAGCTTTTTCCGCCACCGCGGGGACAGATTGTGAGAAATAGAGTTGCTGATCTGGAGGGGACTCAGTTTCTTCCCCATCCACTTCCTCGCGGTAACAACAACAACATCCATAATCAGGTGCAGCTCCCTCGCCTTGATTTTCCTTCTTTTAATGGCGAGAATCCTAGGGATTGGACTAGGAAGTGCGAGAAACTATTCGAGATTTACGCTATACCAGCTGATCAGCGAGTAGAGATGGCGGCCATTTATTTTGGTCGAAGGGCGGACATTTGGTATGAAGGTTGGGTTTCTACTCGTCGTGAGTTGATTTGGAACGATTTTGTGGCAGCATTGTGTGCCAGGTTTAGTGATTGGACTCAGGGCGGCATCGTTGGTGAATTCAATAAGCTTCGGCAGAGAGGTTCGCTAGTTGAGTATCAGGAGAAGTTCGAGGATTTGAGATCCCAGATGTTGAGATACAACGCTGCCCTGTCCGAGGATTACTTCATCTCTAGTTTTATCAGTGGCTTAGATGAGGAGCTACGTCCCATAGTTACCATGATGAGGCCACCAACTCTTTCTGACGCATTTCAGATAGCGAAACTGGAAGAATCTTCTAATGAAGCAAAGCGGAGGAAATGGAGAACTAATAACAATCGACCTCCTTTTACAACCTCTAGTGCGAGTGTGGGGATTATTCCTGCACCACGAAAATGGGACAACAAAGAGCATAACAGGCCTGCTGGTAGCAACAAGCCTTCCACATCTGTTTCAGCTGTTCGAAGCAACCCTTCCAAGGGGGCGTGTTACAAGTGTGGCGAGCGGTATTTCTATGGTCACACCTGTGACTCTAATAAACAGCTTAATGTAATCCAAGCCTCTGATGCAGAGGTGTTACCACCTGTTGATTGGAGTGAGTCTGATGATGACAGTGGAAGTAGTGAATTGGGAGTGGAGGAGGTTGATACAGAACCACCTGTCGATGTGTCAATGCAAGCCTTAAGTAGTGGGGGCTTGGCTAATTCTCTCGTTGTTCAGGGCAGTGTCAGGAAGCATCGAATTCACATTCTGGTGGACACAGGCAGCACCCATACATTCCTTCATGAAGTCAAGGCAGCCGAGCTGAAATGTGTTCTGATTCCAGCCCCTCCATTGCGGGTTAAGTTGGCTGATGGGACTGTTTTGATGAGTACTTTGAGTTGTAAAGGGTTTACTTGGGAAATGGCAGGCCATCAGTTTTCTCACGACGTACGAATTATTAAGCTAGGCTCTCATGACATGGTACTGGGATTGGACTGGTTGCGCACAGTGAGTCCTGTCAAGTTTGACTTCCACAACTTGCAACTGTTTTTTGATGACAAGGGACAGGAGGTGGTTCTCACAGGGGTGACGGATGGAGGTAGTTGTAAGATGATGAGTGGCAAAGGTCTTCATAAAATTCTCAAAAAAGGGCCAAGTTCTTGGGCAGGTCAGTTATTCACCATAACAGTGGAGCCTTTGGAACCAAAAGAGGCAACAGCTCTACAGCCAGGTAAAGTCCCTGATTTTCTCAAAGAAGTAATAGCAGAATATTTGGATGTGTTTGGCAAACCCACCACTTTACCACCTTCCAGACCTTGTGACCACCAAATACCCCTCCTTCCAAATTCCCATCCTGTGAACCTTAGACCTTATAGATATTCCCAACAACAGAAAGATGAGATGGAAAGATTAGTGAAGGAAATGATGGCTTCTCAGTATGTGCAGTCCAGTCGTAGCCCTTTTGCTTCTCCCGTCCTTTTAGTCCTTAAAAAAGATGGATCCTGGCGATTTTGTGTTGATTACAGGCAACTTAACTCCTTAACCGTTAAAGACAAGTTTCCCATACCAGTGATAGATGACCTCTTAGATGAACTTCACCAATCCAAATACTTTACCAAACTAGACCTACTGTCAGGATACCATCAAATTCGAATGCATCCCTCCGACCAGTACAAAACAGCATTTCGCACACACCATGGCCATTTTGAGTTTACTGTCATGCCATTTGGTCTTACAAATGCCCCAGCCACCTTTCAATCCCTTATGAACCAAATTTTTGCACCACACTTGAGGAAATTCATCCTTGTTTTCTTCGATGATATCCTGGTTTATAGCCGAGACCAAGAATCACACAAACACCACCTCGCCCTTACCTTGTCCATCCTCAGATCTAACAAACTCTATGCCAAACCATCCAAATGTGACTTCGGCCAGACTCAAGTGGATTATTTGGGCCATGTGATTAACCAGGAAGGGGTGGCTACTGATCCCAGTAAGATCAAAGCTATGGTTGATTGGCCTGTTCCTAGATCAGTCAAAGAGTTAAGGGGATTCTTGGGATTAACTGGCTACTATAGAAAATTTGTGAAGAATTATGGTAGCATAGCTAAACCCCTAACTGATTTACTCAAGAAAGAGGGGTTCCACTGGTCAACTTTGGCTCAGCAGGCCTTCGAGTTGCTGAAACGTGCCATGATGCAGGCCCCTGTCCTCACTCTCCCTGATTTCACCAAACCCTTCACATTAGAGACTGATGCTAGTGGGGTGGGTATAGGAGCTGTATTGTCCCAGGAGGGTAGGCCTATTGCCTATCATAGTCAGGCTTTGTGTTCCCGGAAACAAGGGCTGTCCACATACGAGAAGGAATACTTGGCTGTGCTACTTGCAGTGGAAAAATGGCGCCATTATCTGGAAGGCAGGAGGTTTATTATTCTTACGGATCATGAAAGTCTAAAGCACTTGCTTGGGCAGAAGGTGCACACTCAGATTCAAAAAAAGGGCTTAGTCAAGTTGCTGGGTCTCGATTTTGAGATCAGATATCGCCAAGGGAAGTTTAATAAGGTTGCTGATGCTCTTTCTAGGCATCCCACTTTTACTGATACAGGACAGTGCAAAGCTATTTCGGCTGTTTTGCCTTCTTGGATTACTGATATTGAAGCCACTTATGAGGGAGACACTGCCATACAGGACATGATGACTAGTGCTGCAATTCCTATGGTTGGCCCTCGAGTAAATGAGGTTAGAAATGGGTTGTTGTATCACAAAGGTTCTCTGTATGTAGGTCAAACTGGAACGTTGAGGAGTCAGTTGTTGGAGTTATTTCATGGTTCTCCAGTTGGGGGACATTCCGGGGTGCAGGCTTCTTATCAGCGCATCAAGCGGTATTTTTGGTGGCCTGGGTTGAAGAAGCAGTTGAGAGAGTTTGTAGGACAGTGTGGGACTTGTCAGCAGTGTAAGGTAGAAAATATACCATATCCTGGGTTGCTACAACCACTTCCGGTTCCTGACGGTAGTTGGCAGCAGCTGTCCATGGACTTCATTGAAGGGTTGCCAAAGTCTGGAGGTAAGGAGTTGATATTGGTTGTGGTAGATAGATTTACAAAGTACAGCCATTTTTTTGCTCTTAGTCATCCCTATACTGCTGTGTCTGTGGCTCAAGTATTCTTTGATGGGGTACACAAGTTACACGGGTTGCCTAAGACGATTGTAAGTGACAGGGATGAAGTAATCCTCGGACAGGGCAGCGTTGTATCTCAACATCTGGGATCTCAAATCCTCGAACTTCTCCTGATACTCAACTAGCGAACCTCTCTGCCGAAGCTTATTGAATTCACCAACGATGCCGCCCTGAGTCCAATCACTAAACCTGGCACACAATGCTGCCACAAAATCGTTCCAAATCAACTCACGACGAGTAGAAACCCAACCTTCATACCAAATGTCCGCCCTTCGACCAAAATAAATGGCCGCCATCTCTACTCGCTGATCAGCTGGTATAGCGTAAATCTCGAATAGTTTCTCGCACTTCCTAGTCCAATCCCTAGGATTCTCGCCATTAAAAGAAGGAAAATCAAGGCGAGGGAGCTGCACCTGATTATGGATGTTGTTGTTGTTACCGCGAGGAAGTGGATGGGGAAGAAACTGAGTCCCCTCCAGATCAGCAACTCTATTTCTCACAATCTGTCCCCGCGGTGGCGGAAAAAGCTCCGCGCCAGCAGCCCCAAAATCCGGCAGGGGGAGAATGCCGCGATCGTTGTGCCGATCTCTCGCAGCCACCGCCGCACCAGCCACAACGATCTCAGGCTGTGGTCTGCCGAACTGATCAAGACGACGGATGACCTCTTCAAACCGAGCATCAAAACGATGCTCGAGGTCATCAAACCTCTGATCCATACTATCGAAACGCC